ATCTTTGACAATACATGTTTGACTTCATTCATCACGTCCATGGTCCTTTTAATATTACCTTAACATCCAAAAACATAAAAACGTTTGAAATAAATCTCGTCTCACTTTTTTATATTTTTAACTTGGTTGCTGAAGTAGTGAAGAATTGAAAATTCATAAGGGAAAAATATCGCTTTTGTAAGTTTTATCTAAATATATATTAAAAACTTGTAGTCTTATTGAACAATGATATATGAACGTCAGATACTAAATTTAATAACCTTACCCGATGTAACCCGATGTACATTGGAGAGCCTCAGAATAATGCAAAGGAGAGAAAATACCATGAACAGAAAGGAAGATACCGACAACATTGCGGCCGCATACATTTCATATTTGATTATAAATAAACTAACTTTTAGTATTGACAAAGCTACCACAAAAGATGGTATAGATTATTAGTATTTGCAGGCCTATTCTGCGTTGGTAACAAAAATTTTGTTACCGGTTAGTAAAGTTACTGTCAATTTTTAAACTCTTTTCGTATTCTCCACACTCTTGTAACCGGTAAATTTTGTTACCATCCCATGAGCAGGTAACAAAATATTGCCCCGTGAAATATGCAAGACCAGAATTTCCACAAAACTCCATAGCTGAATTGCTGAATAAATTAAAACATTACCAAGGTAAATAGAATTGCGGTTACAAGAAGTGGTGACAATTGTTGGTAACAAAATTAGCTTGTTACAAAATGTTCGGTTACAAGTAGTGTTCAATAATAAATAGTGTGAGTCAAATTGTTTGTCTATCAATCTGTAGTTTTTCTTGTCATTTGTAATTCCATATATGTATATGTTTTTATGTCTCCATTCATTATTTTTGGTTATAATGTGTTTTTGTATTTTATGGTTCGTGACAGATTTAATTAAACGGAATTGCCCCTGAAGAAGCTAAAAATGTTTTAGCGAGACGTTGGGCCAGAAAGTGAAATAATGTAGTTTTATTTGCACAAAACACTTAGATCAGACCAGCCTGGTAACACACAATTGAATTAATAACCTTTAATTTGATATATCGTCTTGTTATAACAATTAACGCATTCCATAGATATTACACTTTGAATCAATTGCGCGGGCTAAAGATAAGTTTTAAATTAACCTTTCGCGACCAATAAGAATTGGCTTAGAGATAAGACAACATAATATTACTATTACAATTCCGTCAAATGACTTTTATTTTCCCCCATACAAAATCGACCCAGCCTAATGTACATATCGCTAACTTAGAGTGAAAATATGTTTTTCATATTTTACAGGAGGAGAAAAACTTCCAAGACTGATTTTCTGTTTGGTATTATTTTGAATTTATAGGATTTTTTAGTCTTTCTTTGGACTTCGCAAATTTTCGTTTCACAGCATAGAAACGAGCAAAAATAAAATAATTAAATCAGTCCTTTTGGAAACTATGTTTTTTGTTTATTTTCTTGCTTCCTTTATCAAAATGTGTGTTTTCATAAAAAAGGCGCGTGCTGTAGACAGAATCGGCGCATTAATTGTTGCTCGAATACACCCGTAGTTTTGAGAAATTTCAATAATTTTTACCATACAAATTTTGGATTTCCCTATTTACCAAAGATTATAAAAATGGCGGTGGATGCTTTAAGTCAGAGGTTCCCAAACTTTTTTCTCGTAGATCCCTTTCATAAATTTACTGGTTTCGGTGGACCCCCTGCTGATACATCTCTAAATATTCCCAAAACTCGTAAAAAAATTAAATGTGAAAATTAGATCAGACAATGTAAATTTCGCAGGTGAATTCAAAAACTAAACTCAGAGTGGCCAAAATAAAAGTAAAATATTTTCTTGAGTTCTATTTATAAAAATAATATGATTACACACTTGTAGGTTTTAAAAAATAGAGCACGCAAATACATCAAAATACTCTCGCTCAGAAGAGTTATATTTTTTAAGAGCACTGCGAGCGCTAGCTGTATTTACATTATCTTCACCATAAACTCATCAAATGTTCGGCTCACTCATGACTTTGCACGTGGTGTATATGTAAAATAGTTTATTTGTGTTAATGGCATCATTTTTATTATTATCGCTCCGAGTTTTAAAATGAGGCGAAAAATATTTTTCACGTTTTTAAAACACAAAACTTAAACCATCAAAACGGCTAAGCTTTTTACACCAAACTTTTCAGAAACTGACAATAGAGTTAAAAAAAAATCGATGACAAATAACCAAGCAAGCAAGAAGCACATAAAGTGTTCCACCGTCTCATCTTCTTCAAGACAAGATGGGCAAATGGACTTGTCATTTACGCCTATCACAATCAAGTGTTTTTGCCACGTAAAGTGACCAGTCAGCAGGCCAGCAAGTTGTCTGCAGCGTCGTCTGCTCAGTGAGAGCAAACAATTAGATAGACCTTGTGAGATTGAAGGCAACATGAGTTTTGTCCACCTGCATCCCCTCGATGCCTCTCAGCCATTTCTGAGCGAAGTACTCACTCAGTTTCTGATGGTGGCTTCGATTGCCGAAGGTGGGAGTGCTAAAACCGGTTGCGGACCGAGGAATGCCTGGTCTGAACCAACCTGGCCAATTGATCAGATGTCTCATAACCAGGTACTCCAGAGTGACCTGGCACCCAGAGTAAAACAACCTCGTTATGTTCTTCATCATTAATTAAGACTTGCATTGCCGAACTAGTTTGGAAGTAGTTAAATAAGGGGCTGGTCAATGCCTTAAGTGCAGCTTGGTTGTCACTGCGGTCACGTAAACTCCTTCCCCTCCACTCATGTTCCACCACGTAGTCCATGGCTTTGAGTATTGCAACTACCTCAGCCTGGAAGACCGAAGCATATTCCCCTACAGAAAAGTGGATCTTATCTCCATTAACCTCGAAAAAGACCCCAGATCATGACCCAGAGTCAGTTTTGGAATCAAACCAACATTCAGTCTCAGGGAACTCAACATTATAGAATTTCTTCAACAAAGGTAATGGTACTATCCTGTAGCATTAAAAAGACACAAGTGCTTAAATATCTGCCGCCAGCAATTTTCGCGGCGCTCCACTCATTGTCATACCAGCGTCCGGTTCTTTTTAGTCTACAGGAGGCCTCTAAGGCTTCCCCACATATGAAAACACAAAGTACGGGTAAGTGCAGCAGTGCGTCAAGAGCACTATACACCACTCAAAAAAATTTAAGTTAAATAAAAAGGCAATCAAGCAATCATTTTGGTTCTTTACATCGAAACCAGATAAATTTTCGTGGACCCCCATTTACAACTCATGGACCCACATATTTTGTTCACGTCACCGTGGACCCCCGTCGAGTCTTCCGTGGACCCCTGGGGGTCCACGTGGACCACTTTGGGAATCACTGCTTTAAGTGGGCACATACTTCAGAAAACAAATTGGTCTAGAACGCGTACTATAGCAAATTAAAAATCCTGCCACAAAACGGGTGATTTTCTGAAAAAAATCTAATTTCTTTAAATTCTATTCATCGCAAACACAATATGTTTTGTATTTTCACCACATATGGCATAACATTAGCCCTGAAATTCCTCATTTATCTGACATGCATTCAAAAAGAATCGAGTCATATTTGTCAAAACTATAACCAAAGAAATGGTGGAAACTGTACTTATTCATTGAAAATTTGTACTGAAATTATTTTTGGTTCCTATTAATTTTTAATGCTCTTTTGCGCGGTTGGTATTTTTAAGTCTGCGCAAAATTACAGCATGTATAGTATGGGCTTGTTCGAGTTGACATCACAACCGCAGTGTTGCGCGAATTATTAAAGTATCACGTTCTGTGTGAATTTCTAGCAATGTATTATAAGTTGGGCAGTTGCAATAATGTTGCCATTTTTTATCAGTGCGGCAGTAATGCCGCTTTTATTACGTGCCTCGAACAGGCCCTATATGTCAACCACCGCTGTGGTGCAGTGGTGCGCGGTACAACTCCGCAGGGCCTGGTCAAGCCCTGGTCAAAGCAGCATCGCAAAAAAAAATATAGAAAGGTTTTTTCTTAACAACGGTCGCCCGTCGGAGTGTAATGGGGTATAGTCATTGCGCTGGGTATGAAGTTACAGTTGTATGGCTATACTCAATCCCGACTCTTGCGTTCTCGTTCGCGCACTCTGGGCAACGTGAGCAACCCATGTGCGAGATGCGGTAACCAATCCGAGTGGAGCCTTGGGCCACGGCAGAAAGAGAGGGAGCTTCGGTGGGGCCACTCCGACTTATTCGGTTTAAGGGCTCACTGAAGTCTGCAGCGTCTGTTCACCAGTAGGTGCGGCTGCAAGCGGGTGTCTGCCAGGAGCAAGCGGCTCGCTATATAAACGTGTCTTTGGTTGCGAAACCACCCCCGTCCCAGCAATGGGTTGTGCGCTGGGCTTGGGACCCGCCACGTGAAAACCACTTCCAGTGAAGAAGCAAGGCAAAGCCTGGGATGAGGCCCCCCTCCCCCCCTTATGATGACGACCACGGCAAACGTTTAAAGGACTACGATTTGAGGGCATGCACCTGGAATGTCCGGACCCTTAATGGGGAAGGTGTCTCTGCCCGGCTGGTTGATGTTCTCGTAAGGACAAAAGCTGACATCACCGCCATCCAAGAAATGCGTTGGACGGGGCAAGGCAAACAATGTCTGGGGTCTTGCGACGTCTACTACAGCTGCCTTTTAAAGGAGCGCAAATTCGGAGTTGGATTTGTGGTGGGAGAGAGACTGTGTTGCCGAGTACTGTCGTTCACCCCGGTGGACGAGCGTCTAGCCACAATCCGCATCAAAGCGAGATTCTTCAACATCTCGCTCATCTCTGCGCCCATGCCCCGACGGAAAAGAAGGATGAGGCATCCAAGGATCTCTTCTATAAGCGCTTGGAGCGCACGTACGAGCGCTGCCCCCGTCATGATATCAAAATCGTACTTGGCGACTTCAATGCCAAGGTGGCAAGGAAGAGATCTTTGGAACCACCGTCGGAAAATTCAGCCTC